GGGACAGGTGACATGACAGGGGGACAGGGACAGGTGACACGACAGGGGGACAGGTGACAGGACAGGGGGACAGGTGACACAACAGGGGGACAGGGACATGGTGACACAACAGGGGGACAAGGACATGGTGACATGACAGGGGGACATGGTGACAGGACAGGGGGACAGGTGACAGGACAGGGGGACAGGGGGACAGGTGACACGACAGGGGGACAGGTGACACCACAGGGGGACAGGGACAGGTGACACGACAGGGGGACAGGTGACATGACAGGGGGACAGGTGACATGACAGGGGGACAGGTGACAGGACAGGGGGACAGGACAGGGGGACAGGGATGGGTGACAGGATGGTGGGAGGTGACAGGGACAGGGTGACAAGGACAGGATGACAGGGATAGGTGACAGGAATAGGGTGACAGAGAAGGGTGGCAGAGAAGGGTGACAGGGAGGGGTGATAGAGTGGCAGGGACGGGTGACAGGGTGACGGTGACAATGACAAGGTGATGTTGACAGGGTGACAGTGACAGGGTGACAATGACAGGGTGAACAGGGTGACAAGGTGACAATGACAGGGTGACAATGACAGGGTGAACAGGGTGACAGGGTGACAATGACAGGGTGTCAGGGTGTCAGGGTGACAGTGTCAGGGTGAACAGGGTGACAGGGTGACAATGACAGGGTGTCAGGGTGTCAGGGTGTCAGGGTGACAGTGTCAGGGTGAACAGGGTGACAAGGTGACAATGACAGGGTGACAATGACAGGGTGAACAGGGTGTCAGGGTGACAGTGTCAGGGTGAACAGGGTGACAAGGTGACAATGACAGGGTGACAATGACAGGGTGAACAGGGTGTCAGGGTGACATGTCAGGGTGTCAGGGTGACAGTGTCAGGGTGACAGTGTCAGGGTGTCAGGGTGACAGTGACAGGGTGACAGGGTGACAGTGACAGGGTGACAGGGTGACAGTGTCAGGGTGTCAGGGTGACAGGGTGACATGTCAGGGTGACAGGGTGACAGTGTCAGGGTGTCAGGGTGACAGGGTGATATGTCAGGGTGACAGGGTGACATGTCAGGGTGACAGGGTGACAGGGCGAGTGTCACCTGGCAGGAGGCTGAGCAGGACGCCTGTCCCCAGCGTGCCCAGGGTCCCCAGGGCTCCGTAGTACAGGTAGGACACGGAGTACAGCTCAACCAGGACAGCCGGGCTGTGGGGACAGCGGGGGTGGCACGGGGACACCGCGTGACGTCACGGGAGAGGGGACACTGCGTGACGTCACAGGGAGCGGGGACACCACGTGACGTCACAGGAGAGGGGACACTGCGTGACGTCACAGGGAATGGGGGGACACCGCGTGATGTCACGGGAGAGGGGACACTGCATGACGTCACAGGGAACGGGGACACCACGTGACGTCACGGGAGAGGGGACACCGCGTGACATCACAGGGCATGGGGACAGCGGTGTGATGTCATAACAAACAGGGACAGAGGTGTGACGTCACAGCCAGCGGGGACGGGGGTGTGACGTCACAGTCAACAGGGACTTTGGTTTGTGATGTCACAGCCAGCGGGGACAGCGGTGTGACATCACAGGGGACAGGGACAGGGAGGTGCCAGCCCAAGGGGACAGTGACAGTGACAGGGAGGTGCCAGCCCAAGGGGACAGGGAGGTGCCAGCGCAGGGGACAGTGACAGTGACAGGGAGGTGCCAGCCCAAGGGGACAGGGCCATCCCCGCTGTCCCCACCCCGCTCACCGCAGCGGCTCCGGGGCCAGGGCGGTGCCGTGGGTGGCGCTGGTGACACTGGTGGCGCTGGTGACGTTGCGGGGGGGACACAGCGCCCCCGAGGTTGGCAGCACCCCCATGGTGGCCGCGCTGGGCGGGTACAGGGTGGCACCAACGGCCACCCACAGGGACAGCGACAGGCCCAGGGCCAGACCCGCCAGCACCCCCTGGGACAGGGACAGGGACAGGGACAGGGACAGGGACGGGGACGGGGACGGGGACAGGGACAGGGACAGGGACAGGGACAGAGGGGTCAGCAGGGCATGGAGGGGCTGTGGACACCCCCCACAAAAACCCCAAATATCCCCGTGGCTGTGCTGGATGGCAGAACCCCCCGCCCCAAAATCCTCCTGTTCCCAAAATCCCAAAAATCCCCAAAATCCTCAAAATCCCAAAATTCCCCTCCCCAGAATCCTCCCCGGCCCCAAATCCCCTCCGGCCCCCCGCTCCCAGCTGTGCTGCAGAACAGCAGGACCCCAAACCCCCTCCCCAAATTCCCGAAATCCCAAATCCCAAACCCCCCAAACCCCAAACCCCAAACCC